AATAGAAACTCCCCGGACAGCTGGTGTTACTGTTGGTGCTGGTGTAGTGGTGCCTCTGGCGATGCTGCCGGCTAGTGATGGTGCTGTTTCGGTGGGGCCACCACCGATTCTGCAGATAATACGCCCGGTGAAGCCGGTGCCGGAACTTGAAACGATTTTCACACCCAAATGGGGAAGACTTCCCCAAATCATAATAGTAATTCCTAGTGTAGAAACCTTACATTCTACTATATCGGTACTTTGGACCCTTTGGGACAACACTTTTCTGTGTCGACTTTGGGAATTCACAACAGGCGGAGCGAAATCAGACGAAGGAGCCCGGAATTAAGACAACTCCTGACCTGAAACCGCCGGAAAACCCTAACACTCTGAACCTTAAGCCCCAAAGCGCCATATCCTGGACCCTTAAGCCCCTAAACCCCAGACCCTAGGAACATTCTGAAGTCCCGAAAGTCTTCAAGGAACCTTCCACTTGTCGATGGAGTCGACACCAGAGCCCCCGCCGGCAGACATGGCCATCTTCATGTTCTTGCTCCTCGAGGGTTGTATCAGGGATCCTTTATGGATACTATAAACGGTTTATGCAAGGGTACTACAAGGCTTCGGGTAAAAATCCTTCATGTTCTTGGCAAGTCACCCGGTGTTATCAATCAAGAGGCTCCGAGCTGACCTGCTTGTGGACTTCGGTTTGGACCACCCAAACCCCCCAAAGCAAAAAGTATTGACTACAAGCTAGACACCTCAAACCCGAGGAAGCAACACCCTCTTACACCCGCATATATCTTAAAATCCACCGCCCCTGCAAAACACCATCAAAACACACGTCGAGTATGACACTAAGCTGGGCATTTGACAACACAACCGAATGACAAACAAAGAAACCTCATCCTGCCCCACCAAACAAAACAAAGAGACACATTCAAAATATTGGGCACTCAATGAACAACGTAGGTTTAAGTACGTTTCATTGAAGCTCTAGAGGGATTTTTTAAGTAGATCATATGATTACTTGTTCGGACCCTTATGTTCAGCCCTGAACGTCTGAAGGCATCACCTGATAGAATCCTAATGTCTAGCTAGCCGATACCACAAACCCTCGATCCTAATAATCTTTAACCCCTGATCCTTAATTCCCCAATACCCTAAACCGCAATGCTCCAAACCCAAAAACCCTAAAAGCTAGACTGAAAGCCCAAAACCAAGCAGCCCAATACCCTAAAACCTAGTAGGCCCTAACACCCTTCCGGGCTGGGGCGCAAACTCAAATGCAAGGTAAAGATGCCAGTTGTCGATCAGCGCCATATCCTGGCTGCGGGTTGCTTTGAGGCACTAGGACGGTTCCTCAAAGGGTACCTGTAAGGGTATTCTAATGGCACTATGAGAACTAGAAGGGTTCCTTCAAGGGTACCTGTAAGGGTTTTTAGAAGCGTATCTCAATGGCACTATGAGGGATACTTTAACGGCTCTCTAAGAGCTCTTGTAAGGGCACTAGCAGGGTTCCTTCAAGGGTACTAGACGGGTTGCTTTAAGGGTGCCATAAGGGTTCCTTGCAGAGTACTATCAGGGCTCCATCTAAGGGTACTATAGGGGTTCCTTGAAGAGTACTATCAGGGCTCCATCTAAGGGTACTAGAGGGTTCCATTGACGATACTATCAGGGTTCCTTTAAGGGTTCCTTTGAAGGTGCTACGTAGACGGGTTCCTGTAAGGGTGCTAGAAGGTTTGAATAGTACAACAAACGCGCAGTTAAGGGTGCTAATCAAGGTTCTTTTGTGGGTGCTGGAGCGGTATAGAGCGGTTCCTTTACAAGTCCTATGAGGGTTCCTTCGAGCATGCGACAGGGGTTCCTTTCTTTAAGGGTACTACAAGAGTTAAGAGTTGTATTACATTGTTGCCTTAATACCTGTGATGAGGTCTGTTTCTGCTCTTCTGTTTTTCGGTTTCGGTGTGTGTTTTGTAGCATGTTTGGGTTGGAAGGACTGGCTTTCACGGTTTAAGGCCTACGGTTATAGAGGTTTCCAGGGGTGTAGAGGTTTAGTTCGGCAGTCCACTCTGGACTTAATGGCCGTTGACCGGTCCGGTTTGTCAGTGGCTTACATGATCGATAGAGTCATAAGGACACTGATGCTGAGGCTTATAGAGACAGGGGACTATACTTCCTGGGAGGCCACGCTAAGCCCTTAGGGGGCAGAAGTAGCCCCCGTTTCACCCTGCAAGCGTCCGTATGATAAAAGGACGGCTTAAGCATTCTGGCTTTAGGCCCCTTTCACTAAACCCTAAACCCTAAACTCTAAACCTATAATGTGGCCGAAAAGGTTGCTTAGGCGTTCGGGCACCTAAGGGAGGTTTTGCTGAACAATGACAGGCTTGTCCCGAAACTCTACTTGGAGGTTCATGGGTAGTTATAAGGGGGTTATAAGTAGGGTAAATGTACTTATAGTTAATCCATATTAACGGACTTATTACCCACTTACAACTACCCATGAACCTCCAAGTAAACCAACCCTACATACGGATCCGCTAGCAAAGGCCGCAACTGCAAGAAGCCCTCTAAGACAAGGCCTTAAACCCACAGCTTTGAGCCCTAAGCAGTGCAAGTCTGTCTCGTGCCGAATTAATACCTGAAACATTCCAAACTTCCTCAAGCACCGGTAAGTATGTAGAAGCCTGGAAAAATAAAAAATACTTCTGCTTGGGGCCAGTATAAACGAACTATATTATACCCCGAAACCATGCTTTGAATACTGTGGCGCCTGTATTATGAGAACGTACCCCGAATACTCCGAGACCTAAACTTCCCAACTGCCCCACTCCTGAACGAAGCTGCTATAGCCGAAGACCTTCACGCCTCAATGACGTGAGTTTCGAACTGTTCTACAAGATTTCTACGACAGGTTCCATACGTGGTCTATTGGGATTTAGGGTTTAAGGCTGTGGGTTCAGCAGGGCCTTTGGTGTTTTGGGGGCCTATAGGGGTTGGGGTCGAAACGCTTCAAATCTGTGGGTGGGCGGACGTGTGGGGCTGTAGGGCCCTTCGGGTTCTCGGTGATTCTAGTCTCTAAAGCTAGGGGGTTTAGGGGTCCAGGGTTTAGGGTAAGGGTTGCGGTTTTGGAGATTGTAAGGCAGTCGAGCCATTGCACCCAGGTCTCACTCGTAAACTCCCCAGGTGCGAAAACCCTCGAGCACGAAATTAGGGCCCAAGAGGCAAAATCGAGATGCTGTCCAGCCAGAACACGCTGCCGACACATCTGCCGGGAAATCGGTGAACCCTAGACCCGAAAATCTCCGAACCCCAGACACAAATCCTTCATCCCTGAACCACTCAACTGTAACCCCACAGCCTGCACCCCTAAACGCCTGAACGATGAACCGCTCAACCCCTCAACAAACACTTGCATGTGAAGCAACCGTCCCGGGCGCAGGACCCTTCCCTCGCCCGGTGCGGAACTTGAACATCAACTCCTGGCAGTTGGTGATTCCTACATGTTCAGAGGTGTAGAAAGTTTACAGCTTCGTGTGTAGAGTTTATGGGCTCCAAGCTCAGGAATGGGTAATGTTAACCTACTTTTTATAAATCCCCCCTCAATTACAAAACCCCACCCCCGGAACTCAATTATAAACCCCCCCTCAATTACAAAACCTTCCGGCCCAAAATCCCCGAAATTAGATACTTCTTGTTGTGTGTTGTTGTGTGAGAGAGAGAAAAGGAGAGAAACTGCAGCTACTGCGAGAGCTTGAGGACTGCAGAGAGAGAGAAACTGCAGCTACTGCGATGGCTTGAGGTCTGCAGAGAGAGAGAAAATGCAGCTACTGCGAGAGCTGAGGACTGCAGAGAGAGAGAAACTGCAGCTACTGCGAGAGCTTGAGGACTGCAGAGAGAGAGAAACTGCAGCTACTGCGATGGCTTGAGGTCTGCAGAGAGAGAGAAACTGCAGCTACTGCGAGAGCTTGAGGTCTGCAGAGAGAGAGAAAATGCAGCTACTGCGAGGGCTTGAGGTCTGCAGAGAGAGAGAGAAAATGCAGCTACTGCGATGGTTTGAGGTCTGCAGAGAGAGAGAAACTGCAGAGCTTCAGCTGCGATTTTCAATCTTGCGCAGAGAAATTTCGCGATCAGAGAGCCCAAGCTGGGGGCTTCTTGCCCAGAGTGCGGCAGAGCTCTCGCACGTGGAAGCGAGTGCACTTAAAGACATCGCAAGAGGCACAGCCGCTCTGCCAGTGACAGCGAGAGCACACCCCTGGATCTCCGAGAGTCTTGATCCGCTCGATGTCCACGAGGGCTTCTTTGCCCAAATCAGAGACATCCGGTGGAGCACCTTCCTTCAGGACCTTGAGAGCAGCCTTCTGCAAAGCCGAGAGTTCGCCCTTTTCCGCCTCGGCCTTTTTCGCCAAGAGTTTCGCCTTGTCAGAGGCCTTCTTGAGTTGAACGGCCTGGTCCATGAGATATTCCTCCTTCTCGTCCGAGAGCTTTTTGACTTCGGCCTTCAGCTGAGAGGTGAAGGTCGACAGTTTGGTCTTCAGATCCGCCACTAGAGAGTGCTGAGAGCCCCTCTGCTTGGGCCCTTCGCCACGGCGGAGGGAGAGGTACTCCACCATCACGGCGAGACAGAAGAAGCCGCAGTCGTCAGAGGTCTGGGTCACCGTCGGGTAGTCGGTGAGAGGCGACTTGTCCACGTCGGCTAAGAGACCCTTCAGCTCATTTGCACATGCTGTCGGAGCTTTGTCTTTCTTCAGAGAGTCGGCGAGGAGAGCTTTGGGCGGTTCGCCCTCAGAGCCTTCCTGGAGGACGAGCAGCGTCCAGTGGTCTGGCTTCCATTTTTGATCGGAATGAAGAGGAGGTTGTGCTCCTGCCATTGCGTCTGTAGGTGAGCGATCAGGTACTCCTTTTTCTCGTGTTGCAAGAGAAAGCTGGAGAGGAAGGCGTCCACGAAGAACACGTCCGAGAGGCTCTCTCCTGTCAGAAACAGTCATTAAGTACGAGTCCTAAATGCAACGACAGAGTCCTTACAAAACAGACGAGCAGGGTCCTTTCTGCTCGAAGTGGTGGCGGACGAGAGCCCAGGCAGCATTCATTTGCTGGTCCAAGAGCATCTTCGGCTTCTTGGCAAGAGTAACCTCCACGGGCTCCGGCACGAAAGAGTCGTCTTCGCACCAGAGACCACAGTTCAAGAGCACCTCCTTCTTGAAGAGTCTGGAGAGCCGCAGAGGCTGCCACTCCAGAGACTTTGTCCAGCTCTCGGAGAGAGGCATCACATCCTTCTCCGAGAGGTTCAGAGTTGCACAGGCCAGACCAAAGCTCGGCAGAGTCAGCTTCTGAGAGAGGTGCGAAGAGACCTTGCCCTCCTGGCCCACAAGGTGAGAGGGCGAGAGCTCCGCCACGATGCGGACCTGCTTGCCGAAGAGAGGGCCTTGCAGAGTCTTCGGAGGCTCTGGTGCAGAGATCAGCTCCTGGACCTTCTTCTGAGAGCCCGCCAACAGAGCGGCAGCTGTCTTTAGAGAGCTCTTCTTGAGTCCCTTCTTCAGAGCCTTCGTCAGAGAGCCGGCCTTCCCAGAGGCAGGCTTCGCTTTGGCTTTCGCCTTCCCTGCTTCAGGGACGTGGAGAGCGAGAGCTTGCTGGCGAGAGATGTCCTTCAGCTTGAGCCGCATCGCCTCTTTGAACTTCTCAGAGACAGACCGCTTGGCTTGAGAGACGAGCTGTCTCTCAGCTTTCTTTGCGAGGATTCTCGCTTTCTCCTCCACCGCGAGAGAAGCTTCCCTCTTCCAGGCTTTCTGCAAGAGAGCTGGCGGGAGCTTGAGAACGCCGCTCTCGAAGCAGTTCCACCGAAGAGTTGGTGGCAGAGAGTCCATGTCACAGAAGTAGTCCTCCTCCTGGATGGTGAATCTTGTTCAGAGCTTCGAAAATCGGGTTAGGGGACGTTTGACAAAATTACTTGACTAATTAATTCAAGAACATACAGCTATGCTGATTTGAGAAGAGATGCAGAGTTCTTGTCGCCGTGAGCGACGTCCCAGTCCAAGAGCTCCTGGGCAGCGGCCGTGCCAGGAATCAGAGACCAGTCTGGTTCAGAGGGGATTCCATCCTGCACCCAGCCAAAGCGTGGTTCCAGCCATTCGCTTCGCAGTCTTGCAGAGCCCTGCGGCAGGTCCTTGAAAGAGGGCGTGGAGAGCTCCGCCGGCTGGAGCTTGCCGTCGAGAGGGCGGTAGGCCAGCATGCCATTCCGCCGAAGCCCTGAGAGCACCCAGTCAGAGGCATCCTCGGCACAGGCTTTCTGGGCAGAGACGATGGTCTCGCAGATGTCCTCCACAGAGGCAGCCCAGACAGAGGATTTGCCGCTCTCTGTCAGAGCCTTCTGGCCCAGAGACCTCCTCTCCGCCATAGAGGTGCGGCACAGAGACTTGAATCTGCGAGAGAAGTCCTCAGAATGGGTTTGGGAGTTGAGAGCTCGAAACAAAAACAGAAAGACTAGTGCATGCGAGAGGCTGTGTCCGTCAACTGGAGAGAGGCCGTCATCTTCGGAGCGACCAGAGTCTGGATCGTGTTCCCCAAGAAGTGGGCACCAGAGACAGACTCTGTGAAAGAGGCTCCCAGGCAGTCCCTCTGCACCAGCAGAGCTGGAAACGCCTCTGAGAGTTCCTGGGCCACCCAGGAGAGTATGATGCTGTCGGCATTAGAGCTCGGTTGCATCATCACAGAGACGTGCTCAAAGAGGTGCGGCTTCTGGGCTCGCAGAGCTCTCCATGGCTCCATGAGCCTGCCAACAGAGGTGCCCTTCTTGTGAGAGACAAGGTTCCCTCTCCACTCAAAGGTCTCATCGCAGAGCCACTTGCCGTCTTGAGAGATGTTCGAGAGTCTGGCATGAGGCCCGCTGATGATGATGAGACCTTTGTAACAGAGGCCAGTCGGCGGCGTTCCCGGAGAGTTGTAGTTCAACAAGACCTGCCGGGCTTCGTAAGTGAGGCGGAAGCGGTCCGCGAGAGGCTCCTGCCGGCAGGAATAAGGTTATGAATTATAACAGAAACGACCCAAGTAAAACATTGCAGAGAGGTCCTGGCGTGAGCGGAGTTGCCTCTGACCCTGAGCATCTCCGGAAGAGTCTGGGTGCTGCACAACCAGACCAGAGTCCACGTCCGCCTGCCCAGAGAGTTGCTTGTCGTGCAGAGCAGCCAAGTCCTGCCGGAGAGCCGCCTGAGAGGTGGGTTTTCGCTCCCACTCGGCGAAGAGAGACCTCTCGGCACCCGCCTTTATCCAGAGCGGAATTTGATCGGCGAAAAGGATCGCGAGAGAGGCTCTGTGTTCCAAGAACTGCTTTGGCTTAGAGACGTGCTTCCCCAGAGTCTCCTCGTCAGAGCAGGCAGCAAGCCAGAGAGCCCTGTCGAAAGATTGCCACGTCAAGTGGCATCTCGACTGCTCTTGGAGAGGCGTGAGCTTGGTGACGAGGTGAGGCCTCAAGTTCCTTGCAGAGCACCACTTCTCGAGACGACCTTTCAGAGACTCTTTGGCTTTGTCGCTCTTCTTCTGAGAGGCCAGCTGCTTGTCCAGCTCCGAGAGCCTCACCTGCAGAGGCGTCCGCTTTGGCTGCAGCAGCTTCGGATCAGAGAGATCCGCCTGCACCCGTATCTTGTCCATCTCCATGAGGTGGATGTAGTAGTTGTAGAGGTCCACTCGAAGCACCTGGTTCCCGTAAGAGCGCATCTCGTTGAACCACTCACGAGCCTTGTCCACCAAGTCGGGGAAAGAGTGCTTCCGACCCGCTCCTGGCAGACGAAAGCCTCTGTACGCACGCTTGAGATGCGACCTCTTGGTGCCCTTGGCACCAGTGTAGCGGTGGGGTTTGCGTGAGAGTTTGTTCTTTTGAGAGGTCTTCTTGACCAAGCTCCGCTGCAGCCACAGAGTCTTGACTCGCTTCTTCGGCAGAGCGAACTTCTTGGCGAAGTAACTGAAGAACTCCGTTTCGTCAGAGAAGCGGTCGCCTGCAACAGCGAGTTCCATCTCCTGCACGAGAGCTGCCCGCACGGCAACTGGGAGATCGCTTCTCCCAGAGCTCCTGCCTTTGGGGCGGCCTCCGTAGTACCGCTTCTTGCTTTGCACTTCGCTCTCTCGAGCTATCAAAGCTTCGTCGAGAGCTTTCTGTTCGAGAGCTTGCTTTTCAGCTACTTGAGCGATGATCTGCTTCATCTCGCGAGAGAGGGGCCGACCGCCCTGCTTGCCGGGAAGGAACCGCACTGGCTTCTGAGCTTCTGGGTGAGAGGGCTGGAAGAACCGCCGAAGAGAAGCTTGCAGGCCTGACGAGGGAAAGAAAGCATTGATTCAATGACATGCCGAATGAGTCAGAGGAAAGCAAGCTTTGCAAGCAAGAGCGAAGCCTCGTATGCCTATATACTGAGCGAAGCCCTTCGTTGGGAAAGCTTTAGCTTCCAAAGCCACGGGACTCCGAAACCGCAGATATAGAGGGCTCCAGAAACCATGCCTTCCTTAATACAATTCCTTATTCCCGGAGCCAAAAATCAATCCATCCTGATGGAGTACTAACAAAAGCCGTTCTGCAGAATTATAAACCCCCCTCAATTATAAACTCCCGCCGGGGAGTGCCGTTCTGGTGGTGCCTTTAAAAGGACAGCAAGCTTTAGAAGCCGAGCCCTGCATTGGGAAAGCCTTGGATTCAAAAGGAAAGCAAGCTTTAGAAGACAAGCCCTGCATTGGGAAAGCTTTAGCTTCCAAAGCCACGGGACTCCGAAACCGCAGATATAGAGGACTCCAGAAACCATGCCTTCCTTAATAAAATTCCTTATTCCCGGAGCCAAAAATCAATCCATCCTGATGGAGTACTAACAAAAGCCGTTCTGCAGAATTATAAACCCCCCTCAATTATAAACTCCCGCCGGGGAGGGCCGTTCTGGTGGTGCCTTTAAAAGGACAGCAAGCTTTAGAAGCCGAGCCCTGCATTGGGAAAGCCTTGGATTCAAAAGGAAAGCAAGCTTTAGAAGACAAGCCCTGCATTGGGAAAGCTTTAGCTTCCAAAGCCGCGGGACTCCGAAACCGCAGATATAGAGGGCTCCAGAAACCATGCCTTCCTTAATAAAATTCCTTATTCCCGGAGCCAAAAATCAATCCGTCCTGATGGAGTACTAACAAAAGCCGTTCTGCAGAATTATAAACCCCCCTCAATTATAAACTCCCGCCGGGGAGGGCCGTTCTGGTGGTGTCTTTAAAAGGAAAGCAAGCTTTAGAAGCCAAGCCCTGCATTGGGAAAGCCTTGGATTCAAAAGGAAAGCAAGCTTTAGAAGCCAAGCCCTGCATTGGGAAAGCTTTAGCTTCCAAAGCCACGGGACTCCGAAACAGCAGATTTAAAGGGCCTCAGAAACTATGCCTTCATGTCCTTGCTTGCGAAAGCTTCGGCTTTCAAAGGAGCAGGGAAAGGAGAGCAGGATCATTGTTCATTGCTGACACTTTACCAAACGTGCCTTGTCTGCTGGAAGAGCTGGACTCAGAGGCAACGACAGCTCCTGCAAGACCGAGGGAAGAGCCGACGGCATCCGGTGCCGCTTCCTCCTCCGAAGAGATCTCCATTGCCATTGCAATGGAGAGGCGATGCCTTTCTAAAGGACTTACACGGTCAGAGCGGGGCTGATACGAGCTTCTGCTAAGGTTGAAAAGAGAACACTGCTTCAGTTCTGCCTTCTTCAGCGTGGCTGCTCAAAAGAGTCTTGCGGCGAATGCACAAGAGAAGTTCTTGGCTATTCAAAAGACTTGTTCAGAGTGGCCGCTCAACAAACATGCGACAGAGACCCTGCGAGCAGCCGGCTGTTTCTGCTGAAAGCGAGAGAGAGTTCAGTTCAGGCCGCTTCGGGCGAGGCAGGGAGAGGAACTAACATCTCCCAATCATCATGATCAGAGTGGTGCTCATCATGCTCAGAAGCTTCAGAGTGTGTTTGACTGCCAGGCAGAGAGTTCCCCAGATCATCGAGATCCTCCTGGGTCAGCACCCGCCAAGAGCGACGGCCCTCCAAGAAGAGAAGGTCTCCAACAGAGAGATCTCTGCGTCGGATCAGCCATCCCTGAAGAGTCCACCTCTCAGAGCTGAAACAAGAGACCTCCGGAGAGAACCTCATGCCGTCCTCAAGGCACCAAGAGCAATCATGCAGAGGCAGGCCCAAGAGTTCTCCAATCAGAGAGGCGACGTCTTCCTCGTGCTCCAAGAAGCATCTGCTGATGCAGAGAAGAGAAACGTACCTGAGTCCGGCAATAAAAAGAAAAGATTATTGAAAGAGACACAAGAGCCAAAGCGAAATGCGAACGGAGGCACTGGTTCACAGAGACGGTGGGAGAGACAGTCTCCATGTTTCCAAGCAAGAGGCCAAGTTGCTGAGAGCAAAAGAGCTCCCGGGCTGACTGTTCTCCGCAAAACACAACTTTAAAAACAAAGAGAGAGAGAGAGAGAGAGAGAGAGAACATAGACAGCGAGAGAGAGAGAGCATGCGTGTTTGTGTGTGTTTGCGCTAGAAACTAAACTAATTAAACCGTACATAAACCCTAAACCCCAAAGCACAAAAGAGTGAGTTCTTTTGCAGAGCCAAGCTGAGAGTCGGCTGAACAGTTCCAGAGAGATGCTCCAGCAGAGAGCGGGCTTTTTTGGAGAGTTGAGGTTTTAGGGTTCTAGAGTCTAGGGTTTAGGCTCGAAGGTAAAGGTAATTAAGGCCTGTAAGGGTTTAGGGTTTAAGGGTTAGGGTTTAGGGTTTCGGGGGTTTAGTAGGGTTTTGGGTTGCCTGAGAGTTCAGGTGTTAAGGTTTTAGAGTCTAGGGTTTAGGCTCGAAGTTAAGGTAAGGGTTTAGGGTTTAGCGTTTAGGGTTTAATTAGGGTTACTTTAAAAAAAGCCGGCTTCTGCGAGCTCTCGATCTTGAAGAGCCCGGCTCATCAAAGCCTGGGATGGGCATATGTATAACATTATATATATATATATAGATAGATAGATAGATATGTATATATATATATGAATATGTACACACATATATATATATATACATATATGTAAATACATATACATATACATATACATATACATATACATATACATAAATATATATATATATATACATACATATACATATATATATATATATAATACATATACATATATAACATATGTGTATAATTAAGTAGTATACATGAAATCATGATATATATATATAAATAAATAATATAATATAATATAATTAATATAATATAATATAATATAATATAATATAATATAATATAATATAATATAATATAATATAATATAATATAATATAATATAATATAATATAATATAATATAATATAATATCATATCATATCATATCATATCATATCATATCATATAATATAATATAATATAATATAATATAATATAATATAATATAATATAATATAATATAATATAATATAATAATGATTATTATCGTCGAGCAGCGTAGAGTGCTGCTCGAGAGCCAAAGCAAAGAGCTCCTCGGAGCATGAATTAATTAAGAGGGTTTGGGGAGTTTAGGGTTGAATTAAGGTGTACGGCCTAGTTTGTGTGTAGGGCCACGGTTTAAGGTTTGGGGTTAATTAGGGTGTTGAAGTTTTTGGTTTAATTACTTAAGAAGGGTTTAGTTAAGCCTTAATTAATTAGGTACATAGGGTTTAATTAAGGAATACCCCCAACGAACCCCAAACCCTGGAACCCCTTCACCCTAAACCCCGAAACCCTAAAACCGCCCCAAACCCTGGAACCCCTTGACCCCTAAACCCCGAAACCCTAAAACCAGAGCCGAGCGTCGCCAGAATGAAGGCATAGAGGCTCCACCCCTATGCCTCGGATAGAGTTTGGGGTTTAGGGTTTGAGGGTTTGGGTAAGTTTAGAGTTTGGGGTTTAGGGTTTCAGAGGGCTTATTTCAGGGTTTGGGGTTTCAAGTTAGAGGTTTCAGAGTTTAGTTATTTAGGGTTTAATTAAGGGTTCAAGGTTTAATTAATCAGGGGTTGTGGGTTTCCCGGTTTTAGGCTTTAGGGCCTTTAGGGTTTAGGGGTGTTGTTTAATTACATAAGGTTTTTGAAAGGCTTAATTAATTAATTAAAACAACCGAGCATCAAAGAGATCTTCCCCCTGAGAGGTTCCTCTAGGCCTCGGATGAGAATTAATTTAGGGTTTAGGGTTTAGGGTGGGTGTTTGTGGTTCAGGGTTTCAGGCTTTAACTAGAGGTTGCAAAAAAAAGTTGGTGATCACAGCAGAGGGTCCCATCGGTCGGCAGAGAAGCAGGTCACCGAGAGGGCTTGTTGTTCCAACCAGAGAGGGAAGGACACCTGCAGCAAAACATAAGCCATCTTCCCCCAAACCTCAATTAACTATTTAATTAACAACCCCTAACTAAGCCCTGAACCCTTTATTAACTAAACCGAGAGGCTCGTCGAAGCATGAGAGGCCAGCTGAACTGCCGATAGCAAGCGAACCTGCCATGTTCAATTAAGAATTAAAACAACCCATTGTCATAACATTATTGAGATATAACTAATTACGGAAAGAAATACGTTAATTAAACAACCAAGAAACTCAGCAAGGTAGCGGCAGCGGTCAATGACGATAGAGCTTTGGTTCGCAAACCACAATCCAAGCACACCCCCAAACTCCGGTGCATCGGAGATTGGAGAGCAGAGCCCGGACCTCCAGGGTATTCGTTACTTAGGGTTTAGAGTTTAGGGGTTTAAGGGTTAATTAATTATGGGTTCAGGGCTCAAGTGGGGTTTTAGGGCTTACTTAGGGGTTTATTAATTAATTATTTCAAGTCGAGAAACTCCTCCCAGAGCCATTTCACAGAGGAGAGAATCTCGCTCACGTGCGCCGGAGTTGGCGCCATCTCCTGGGAGTGGCTTTAGGGTTTGATTAGTAAGTAACTAAGGTTAGGGTTTAGGGTTTAATTAAGGGTTTCGGGTTAATTCCATTGTAATTAAGAGTCGTCCGAGAGTTCGTGGAGGAGCTTCCAGATGCACTCCAGAGTTGCACCCAAAGCTCCCATGATGCCTGAGAGGATTTGGGAACTAGTAATTAGAACTTAATTAATGAATAATTAATTAATAAATAAACCCTAAACCCTAGTAATTACTATCTTTGTTAATTCACAACGAAAACGAAAAGAAGCTGCGAAATCTAGAGAAGACACAAACCGCCTGCCAAGAGTTCGCCGTGTGGTGCGGCTCAGAGTGCATGCGCGAGAGCTCGGCGTCCAACCACCTGATTTACAGTCCCTTAATTCTATACTGAATCACTAAATAAACTCAACCCCCATTAAGAAACAAAGCGAACCCCCCCAGAAAATACTTAAAGAAAGAAGAGGGCCTTCTCAGAGTCAGACGCGTGTGTCCTCCGCTGCGGCGGAGAGCGCCGAGACTATCGGCAGAGCGATGGTACGTGACCAGGATCGAAGAGATATTCCTGAGAGTTTGGGTTTAGGGTTTGGGGTTTAGGTTTCAATACCATTAATTAGGGTTTAATCGGGTTTAATTAATTAAGGTGTAATTACGGTCTAGGCGCACCACCAGCAGAGAGAGGCCCACCACACGGGCTCCGGTGTAGTAGCCAAGCACCGGCGGATCAGAGCCCCATCCCTGAGGTTGAGAGAATACAAGCAATATCCTAAACCCCTAAACCCTATAACTAATTAAGGAATGAAGAGAATTCCAGACAAGTTGCATCCCCGAGAGGAGAGCCGGGTGCCGGTGGGCCCGGCGGTCCAGAGCCATGCGGGAGAGGGTTCCCCGGGCCAGAGCCTCCGCCACCTCCGCCGAGAGCAGGGCCGGCCAGAGCCTGCAGGGAAAAACCCTTTAAACCCTCGAGATTTATTATACTAAAGCCCATTTACTTAGAGTCCAAAAGCTCTCCCAGAGCTGCCTGGTCCGCGTCCGCGAGAGGAACTCCGGCAACAGAGCCGGGCTCCGCTGCTGGAGAGCCGCCCTGCAGGGCAAGAGAAACCCCCCAAAACCAGAGCACCACCCCTTAACCCACTGAACCCTCCTCGTCTCCCATCATCGAGAGATCCTCGGCCGGGGCCAGAGAGCCCGCCTGCAGGGGATTCCGAAATTAGAGTTTATTTATTACTTATTTTACAGAGGCCCCTCCTCTGCAATCTCAGAGAGAGCCGGCACAGAGGTTGTCGTCAAGGAGGCCATTGCCTTGGGGGATTGAGTGTAATTAGACAAGTTCTAAGAGAGATGTAGTTTAATTCATAATTACAAATAAACAAAAAAATAAGAAACAATACTGGATACGTATCTAGAGACGAGAGGAGCGGCTGCGTGAGAGTGCAAGAGGGCGATAATTGCCGAGAGCCCAAGCTGCTCGGCCGCGATAACGTGCAACTACTACTGTATTAATTACTACTTACTCTAAATATTACTACAATACTCGTATTGTACTACTCTACTACTGTACTATTGTATCAATACTGTACTTTTGTACTATTGTGCTATTATCATTATATTGTAGTACTATAATACTGTACTATTGTACTACTGTACTAATTATTGTGATACTGTACTACTGTACTACGACGACGACCCCCCTCA